TTCATGTACACACATGAAAGACTGAAGTTATTCATTTAATATTTTAAAACTAAGCTGGCAAGGAGCTTCTTTTTCATTTTTTGAGTAGTTTTTGGACTGAATCACACAGTGTCTCTAATTGATTAATAACTTGAAGCATCAAATAGTTCCTTGGATTTGTGTCATCTAGAAACATACAAGATCTTGCTCAGTGCTCAACGAAGAGAACCTGAGCCTAAATGTTTATAAAACTGTATCTTGGCTGTGGAACATTTCAAACTAATTCTCCTAAAGCAGGCAGATCAGAAGAGATTACATGGATCTTTCTCTGAGTCAACACAGGCATTCTTTCCAATAAAGATCAGAGAGGAAGAAGACGCATATTTTGTGTCAACATGGGTAAGGATGCAGTATCCTGGCAGTATAGGATGTCCTTACAGATCCACCTTACAAATGTGTGTAACTAGAATGGATGTAAAATCGTACGTAGTCCGAAAGTTGCTCATTTATTCAGTTTTCTACTCATATATGACCTGATATGATATCATATTATTTGTCTATAAATAATAATTATTAAAAAATAATTTTCTAGGGAAATTATGTACACATTATAGCACAAATTTCAAAAAGAAGAATGATAAACTCATTACACATAATTTTCATAGATATGTAAACAGATGAAATTGCTTCATTTTTATGTTGAAATCATCTCAATCTGTAGAGTTTTGTTTAACTTCACAATGAACAGAAAATCAGGAAGTTTTTTATTATTGTTATTAATAATAATTTCATGTAATATAATTTTGAAAAAAATTACACAAACTTTTCTACCACTTCTGTCTTCTTTCAGTTTAGAAGAAAAATATTTTGACTTTCAATGCAAAACCTCTTGATATTTTGTCAAATTTGTTTTATGCCAGGAGTATTCACTGATTTTAATTGAATGGAAACAACAATTCTCATCTTCTATGTCACATTGCTAGATTTTGTATTATTGAATTTCAAGCTAGTTTCACTGGGACCTGTCGAGAGGCTTAAGCCAACCTCTGAGTCTCCTTGCTATCCTCCTTTCCACGGCAACATTGTTTGCCTTTTGTCTGTTCTCTGATTAAATTGACATCATTTTACCTTTTGCAACTCCCATGTCATTTTCTGTTGACAGCATCCAGTAATAGTAACAGACCAGTGTCCTTGTGAAAGGGGCAGAAACCATTGATTAGCTGGGTGTATTAATTCAGACCCTTTAAAAGTCATACAGACGTGTCTTTGTGTTAACTGGCAGCTGAATGGGGGCTAGTGAGAGAAGTTATTAACCACAGATAACAGTCAGCGCCCTCTATTCACTAGCAATGTCACTTTGTGCCATTTGAAGAACGGTTTGTAGTGAAATTTGGTCACATAACTCTTCCCTTCCCTGCACACATTCTGAACTGAAGTTATTTATAGTAAAAGAGTAGAAATAATGTTCTGATTAGACTGATGTTGGTAGGATGCTTACATAATTTCCAAGGACTTGTACCACTTTTAATAAAACCCATATGCACTTCACAACCAAAATCTCCTCCAGATAACTTTATAGACCCTGCTGATACTAAGTTAAATGTTTACCATGGATAGGGAATTTGTAACAGTATTTTCAGAAATAAATGATTATGAGCAGTTACAGGAAGCACCTAGCTATAAAAATCCTATCTACAAAACACAAGGGAGATGCAATAACTATGTCAAAGCCTTCCATCCTGTTTGAACAGTTTAAACAGAATAGAGAAATGGGAATACTAAAGCCTTCAAATTATGAACTTTACAAAATATCAGCATTTAAAAATATGATATCTGGGAAGTGCAGAATGGTCTGTGCAAGTTTATTTGCTGAACATAAATAACGTATAGAGAGGTGACCCAAGACAGCCAGCATGGCTTCACCAAGGGCAGATCTTGCCTGACCAATCTGGTGGCCTTCTATGATGGAGTGACAGCATTGGTGGATGGGGAAGCAAGACATATGTCATCTACATGGACTTCTGCAAAACCTTTGACATGGTCCCCCACCACATCCTTCTCTCTAAATTGGAGAGGTATGGATTTGATGGACTAAATGTTCAGTGCATTAGGAATTGGCAGGGGTGGTCACAGCCAGAGGGTTGTGATTAATGGTTCTGTGTCAGGGTGGAGGCCGGTCACAAGTGGTGCCCCTCAGGGGTTGGTCTTGGGACTGGTGCTCTTCAATATCCTCATCAGTGACATAAATGATGGCATCGAGTGCATCCTCAGCAAGTTTGCAGATGACACCAAGCTGAGTGGTGCAGTTGATACACTGAAAGGAAAGGAAGCCATCCAGAGGGACCTGAACAGGCTGGAGAAGTGAGCCCATGAAAACTTAATGAGGTTCAGCAAGTCCAAGTGCAAGGTGTTGCAGTTAGGATGGGACAATCCCACGTGTTTATACAAACTGGCAGTACATCTCCTTGAAAGCAGCCCTGTGGAGAAGGAATTGGGGTCCTGGTAGACAAGAAGCTGGACATGAGCCAACAGTGTGCACTTGCAGTCTGGAAGGCCAGCTTTGTTCTGAGCTGCATTAAAAGAGGAGTGGCCAGCAGGGAGAGGGAGGTGATTGTCCCCCTTTACTCACCTCTTGTGAGGCCCCATCTGGAGTTGAGGAAAACTGGGCTTGTTTAGCTTGGAGAAGAGAAGGCTCCGGGGAGACCTCATTGTCACCTTCCAGTACTTGAAGGGAGCATATAAACAGGAGGGGGAACAACTGTTTACATGAGTTGATAATGATGGGACAAGGGGGGGATGATTTAAAAGTTGAACAGGGGAAATTTAGGTTAGATATTAGGAGGAAGTTTTTCACCCAGAAAGTAGTGAAGCACTGGAACAGGTTGCCCAGAGATACTGTGAATGCCCCATCCCTGGAGACATTCAAGGCCTGGCTGGAAGTGGCTCTAGGCAGCCTGGTCTAGTGGTTGGCGACCCTGTTCATGGCATTGGGGTTGAAAATAAATTATCATTGTGGTCCTTTTCAACTCAGACCATTCTATGATTCTATGAAATGAATATCTTGCTTCTGTTCGCCAGTGCTGTGAAAGAAAGACTTATACCAGTGAAAGTTTTTTTGTTGTTTTTTTTTTCATATTTTCAAGATTTACATGCATTTCATATTTTGTTCTAGATTAAAGAATTTGGCAATAATTGAAATGGAATCAACTGTGAGAACAATCTTCCTTGTGCTGAGTTTACATTATAACAAATAAAATAAGCTAAGTAATGAAATTTGATTTTCATCAACATTCTGAAAATATGCTTGTCCTTGTATTTTCCTCAGGAAAAACAAAATACAAAATATTTTATCCTGACTCCAAGTCATTCTGTGACACATTATTTGGAACAACAAATTGGAATGATTATAATGGGTTAGCATTTCTGACATAAAAATTATGCTGTAGGGTAAATTAGCTTAAGCACAACACCAAAATGAAGTAATTGGTTTACACACTGGATCTCTCTCATATCCAGCCAGTACTACTAGGATGAGTTCAGGCTGCCTGCGGAATTTATACATGTAACATTCATTGTAACATTTTTAATTACCGGTTAATGCTGTAGAACCAGAAGGGAAATCAAAATTTACATAGATTCCTGTAGTATGAGTAAGATCAGCACATATACATAATCATTACCCCTTAATTTGTCCTATCATAGGATTAAGCCAAAAAAAAAAAAAAAAAAAAAAAAAAAAAAAGAGGGTATGTGTTGTATGTCATTTTAAGAATAATTAAAATGACATCTGCTGTTACATTACACATGTACCACTCTGTGGGATCAGTAGACTTCATTTTACTTTACTTGAATGTCTTTCTTCACAATTGGTTTGCTACTCTGTAGTGCTGTGTTGGCTGCTTAAGTTATTATTGACTACCTATGGTTTTGAAAATATATTTTCCATTAAAAACAATGCAATTAGCTTCCAATTATTTCTTATGGTTTTTTTTTTTAAATAGCAAATAGAGTTATCTGAAGTAAGAAAAATAATCGAAAGGAATATTATGCCATTTTTGTTCAAAATCATCATCATAAGATTCATTCAATTTTTAACAGAACTTTTTGCCCTTCTGTAGACTACTTCTATCATCCTGTTGCAGAAGAGCTGCTCTCTAGATATGCAGCATCTCAATAGTGGAAATTCTGAAAGGAGAATTCAGTGGTCTGTATGTTTTGTTGCTGTGTTTCTGAGAAGACAGTGATATTTATGACATTAAAAAGTTGATGTACTATCAGTCCATCTGGGTGGAAGATTTCATAGTATTTTCAATAACTGAATGCTTTCAGCATTTGTATCTCTTTATTTCTTTTTGCTAACAGACATATTACCTTGTATAACTTTCAACCGCAATTTGTAAAGTAGGTTTCCTGCAGAATATTTCATGGAAGCAGAAAGCAGAAACTATGCACTATATTTAAAGGTGAACTCATTTTTTTCCTTTGGAAAACTTAGACTCAAATTACAAGATTCTTGTTTTGTAAGAGTTAGGGGAATGACTAGAAAATGAAGTAGGACAGAAAGCTTCTTAATTTATTTATTTTTATTTGCCTTAACTTTTATTCTCTGGCATTTAATGTTCTATAGCTATGAAAAGTGTAGGCATCGAAACTATACAGAGTCCGAAAAGCTGTAAAGACAGGAGACAAGGAAAAAATATATATATAAGTTGATCAATTTGGTAAATAGTCCCATTCCGTATTTTGCATGAGAATTCACATCAAGAAAACTATACAACTAATTTCAACAGTTGTAGCAAAGGATGACTTGCAGTCAGAAGCTTGTGAGTAGAGACGTACAGATCATAATCATGGAAAACCCTTTTGTGCTTCAAGTAGGAGTGGAGGAATAATTAAGAAAAAAAAGTAAATAAATAAATGAGACTTTAAAGAAAAGCAATAAAAATGAAGAACTGGAAACTACTTACTTTAAAACAACCTAACAAAACAACAACAACAACACAGAAAGTGCTTCCAAAAAACAAACAAACGAACATGATGGAACAAAGGAAAAAAAAATCAAAACCCAAAATTTATCTGCCAGAAAATGTAGTAGCATCAAAATTCACAATTCAGTGCTATCAATATGTGATGCTGTGTTATAAAACATTTGCCTAAGCTTACTCTCTGCATAATTGAGTTGAACTATTTGTTTAAGCTCTCATTCAGATGTACTTTAACCATCCTAAATCAAGTGAGTCATGGACAATACAAAGGAAACAATGGTTTCAGCATTATGTTGTTTTAGTGTCTTACAAAGAAAAGTGAGAAGTTCCTGGATTTGGTTGAAACCATCTGCTAAATATTTCTATTTAAAAAATATTTTTCACTAAAGGGAATCTAAATTCTTCCATTCATGAAGGAATAGTAAATATGAGGTACTCTGTTGCTAATTCATGTAGTCATATAGATTCATTCACATATGTATATTCTTATGTTAGAGAAAAAGCCATTTATTCATGACAAAAATGGAACTGGCTGAGAAACATGAGAACTCTTTTGATGAGCTAAGAAATAACAGAATATTATTAATTTTTTGCAGAACTATCAAAAGACTATTTTATCAATCTCAGTAAGACAAAGTTTGCCTGAAAATAGATATTTGCAACTCTTTAATTGACACTCGTGAAAACTGATTGCTTGGAAGCCTACAAAGATTCTTCTCACTCACCACTCCATCCTCATTTCTGTGTGCCCAGTGGTGCTCCAAACTTTGGCTGTTGTTTAGCACTGCAGTTGTTTTTTAGTTCCTCTGAAGTCACAATTCTGCACAGTTACTAATCATTTCTTTTTCTGCCACCAACTCTTGTAGCCTTGTTGGCCACCTAGAACATAAAATTCAATAAAGGGAGAGAAGAACTAATGGAAAAAAAAATTATTATTTGAAGAGTGGGAGCTACAGCCATTGGATTTGTCATTTTCTATTTTCTTACTTAGGAGACCATACAAATAAGGAGAAACATGAATTTACAATGCAAAAGAACAATCATTTAGAAAATGTATCCCCACGATTTAATTATAATAATTTTAAAAAAGTGTTTTTGTAAGAAAAATTAAATGTTCATAAGCAGTCCACAAGTTGAATAGTCTATGTCAATTCACAACTAATTCAAACTCTTCTATCACTTCTAACATTTTAGGAAAACTTATTACAGTGAACTCTCACTAGTTATTCAACACTACATTTGTTCAGGGTTTTTTTTTTGGTTTTTTTTGTTTTGTTTTTTTTTTTTCTAAAAATGCGAAGAAAAGTTCATATTTGTCCTCAGAATATTTTATTTTTATTAAAAGGACATCACAGCATGCCAAGAGGTGAGAGAAATGGGATAAAAAACATTCACAGACAAAAAAAGAAATTGAGTACCACAAAGTCTGGTTTAAGCTTCCTATGCATATTCATGGAAGTATAAGCTGAAAGGCCATTTTGTGAAAGGTCACTATACTTCATAAAATGATAATTTTAGAAAGAAAAGCTAATCCAAAAAGTAGATGTAGTCATTACTGACATATCTCTGTCTACCCTCCAGTTAAGGAGTTTTAATGATTAAGGTTCCTAAATCACTGCAATAATAGATGCCAGGCATTAGCTTTTAAATTTTTTTCCTCTATCTCATTTTCTTTCCTTTATGCTGTTAAACTTCATTACTTGTTGGTCTATGTGGCTTGGAATAAATAGTGGGAAAATAGTGTTCTCTCTCAGAAATGCTTTTTATGCAAACAAAAATTGCTCTTATATTTACTCCTCAGACTTATCTTTGTCATTTTTAAACTGCACCTACTAATTTACTCACTTCATCCTATAGATTAAACATAGAAACTTAATCAGTCTCTCAACTACTTCCTTGCCATTCCCAAGAATTGTCTGAATATTTCTGGAAATACAGAGCCCAAAACTTTAAGTACTATAATTACTGAAATTTCAGCAGCACTGTGCAAATATCAGATCATTCTATGTATCCTCCAAGTTTTACCTTCTGGTTACATGTCCCATTACTATGCTTGCATTTTTCACAGAATTCAGCAGTTTGATTAAGACTTTACTAAAATTAAGATATACAATACCTTTCTTGCTCTTCTGTTTATAAATCCTCTGTCATTCTATAAATAGACACAGATTGGTTCTGAATAAATTCATATTGGTTGTAATATATCTCATTTTTTTCATACAGGTATCTCCAAATATTTCTTTCAGAATTTGTTCTGGATGACAAAGTTAAGATGACAGTCTTATAATTCCCTACTTTTATTTTTTGAAGAGGAGACCAAAGTAGCTTGCCTCCAGTCTTTTGATAAAACTTCATGTATTTATAGAAATACTTCTCAAATAAATAAATAAATAAATAAATAAGTTGCTAATAGTTCTAAGACTCTATCAAGTAGTCTAAGTAATGTGAGCTGAAAGTCACCAGCCCCAGACAATATGAAATCCTTTAATTTGTAGTGGTCTCTCTAAATTTTTCTCTATTATTCAAGGGTGAGATCTCGTTTTGTTGTGGTTGACAAACTCAGTTAACCAGTTATTAGAAGACATTTTTGTCAAAACTAATTAAAGTCAGATTACTAATACTAACCTGAAGGTTAACCTGTTTCATTGAGAAGTATAAACAGCTCATTTTAATCTTCCACTGACTACTGGGATGTTTGCATTACTTTTTCTGCTTATTCTTACTAGGACTTGACAGTTGGTGTCATTGTTCTTGTTAGATTTTTTCTCCTACAATATTACAGCCTTTCCTCACACAGCATTTGTTATTGTTTTGGCTCTATGTCTCATACTGTATGAGGTAATATGAAGGCACAATTCAGTTTGTTTTCCTAGACACTCTACAGTCCTTCAGTACCGCTATACTAAGCTTTAAATTACCCATATCTTCAGACTGTGTTTATACAAGTGAATTCAGTTATATTTAGGAACAGTCTCAGGCACTGAAAAGCAGTGTAAATGCAGCCTCAGTTCCTCAGTTTCCCACTAGAAGCCCCTGGTTTATTCTAGCAGATTCCATAATTCTGCCCCCTTCCACCCTCCAACCCCCCCCCCGGCCCCCAAGCCCCCATTTTAAAAGCTACGCCAATACAATCTTCCTGACTATTTTCAAATGTTCCAGATAAATTTGTTCTATAATGACCTGATTCTAATAAAAGGTGAAACAAAGGCCAAAAATGTCACTAGGATTCCAAAAAGAAACGCTATGCTTTAGTACTTTTTTTTTTTTTTTTTTTTTTTCCTGTCTTGGTGCTTGCTTATGTGCTTATTCCCTTTTTTTTTTTTTTTTTCTTATGACAAATAACCAGAGTTAATAAATATTAGTAGCATGCATTCTGTAGTCGTTGTATACCACTCTTGCATTTAAATAAACTACAGCTTAAATGGAAATAAACAACTGTGATGGACTGCCTAGCATAGGAAGAATATGCCTCTTTTCATGTTGATGTATTAGGTCATTTCTTGAAATCAAAGTTAAGTAATACTTAAGTAATTGTGCTTGTATGTCAGAAATCTGTTGAAAGTGGGGAAGTGTCAAGGTTAACTTGTAAAAAATGAACTGTACTGAAATCTGCTTGCCTGTATTTGCACAAGAAAAAAAAAAAATCTAAACCAAAACATTTATCTAAGTTGGTCTAGAGACTGGATTTCCTGAGGAAAATTTAAAAAATGAAATAAATAAAAAGATAAGTAAAGAGAGAGATTAAGTTTTCTTTTTTTCAGGTGAGTTGGAAATTTTTTATAGATATTTCACTTTACTTTATTCTACCACACATATGAATTACTGGCGTTTACAGTATCACCATAATTTCAGAGCAATTTCATCTATTCAAATCCTAAGGTGATTTTTTTTCCCTGAAGAAAAGCACTCAATTAGGTATCCCTTTTACTAGTAATTCATATGAACTGTTTTATATTTTAGTTGAAGTTACTACGTTCCTGCCTCAGTGTACCTACAAGACAGCATGCTTTCCTTCTTTTGACTAAATATATAATTTTTTCCAATGTGACTTTTTTTTTAAACTGCACAGTCTCGTTGCATACTGGAATTTCAAGGAAGTTAGACTTCAGCATTTGCTAATGGATGTAAGAATACCATCGAGAGACACCCATACTGGCAAACAGAGCCAGCATAGTCAGACTCCAAGTTGCTGGTATAGCTAAAGTGCTATGGTAAAACTACAAAGAAAGAGAAGTTTTTGTCAGACCATTAAAAAGCTACAAGCTGCCAGATAACACACTGTCCTTGAGTAGGCACGATATAGCAGCACATTATTATGGAATAAAGAATTTGAAAGACTTTGGGAAAGAAAGACTACCGTTAGTACTGAAGTCATAATAACAATGCCATGTATGCTAACCTTCTATCACTTGACCAGTGTCTTGAAAATCCATGTGATTTTGCAATGTAACTATGAAAACTAATAAAATGAAACTGGCACAAAGTGAATAAAAAACAATTTCAAACTTCTCTTTTTTTTTTTTTTCCCCTGAAATTAAGAATCCACTGTAATGGAAAATACTTGCATCAGTGTTTGTTTAGTAGTATTTTTTTCTATAGAAATGAAACAAACAAATGAGAAAAAACAACAGCTACTACTACTGGAAGTTATAATGTGTGTTGGTTGTTTGCTTTTTTCAATATATCATTAGACTTTGCTACTATGCTATAGGCTTAACCGACTCATCCCATCAGGCATTTATTTGTCTTTCTCTTTCTTTACCTTTCACCTCTGGAAGTCAGATTGTAATCCCCAGCACTTTGAAGAGTACTGTAAGTCTTTGATCTGGTGCTTAACCGATGACTTCACACTGCATAGTGAACTGAAGCAAAATGCCATAATATCCTTAAATCAGTAATATCACAGGAGTAAAAATGAACTCTGTTCTTTCATTAGGTTGAGTTTCTGGTCTAATGCAAAAACAGCATCTATTACTTTATGAAGCTTAATAAAATGTTCACTATAAAGAGATAGTTCTGAGAATACGAAGATATCTGAACTAAAAGTACTTACCACAAGCTGACTCCCAATATCTGTGTGAAATGGGTATTTCTTTTGGTGCTTCTCTTTATTATTTTCTCCCTATGGAACTTCTATTTTTCTTGGATCACAAATCTGTACAATGGTACAAATCATCTGCATGCTATGGGAAATCTGACAGTGAAAAAAAAATGGTTAGCCAACTTTACTTAGGCCATTATAAAATATGGGATAACTGTGAGTAGTTTCAAACAATGAGTTACTCAGTTTAAGGTCACTTTTGAAGATATTTTGGATTCACTTTTTACAGACATACTTTCTCATATTTTTCATATTTCAGCTTGTCAGCAGCTTGCACTAATATATGAAGGTTTGAAAATGCAGTCCATGAACTCAGATATCAGGTTATTACTCTCAGTTTCAAAGCACAGCATGACATTTCCCTAGATTACAAATAAAAGGTCCTACATTATTGGACAAATCTGTCAGTGTCCTATGTTAAACTGGAGTTCAGAAACAACGTGGTTATTGTTGCAGGACACCACTGACATATTGAAAGTATAGATATTGAAAGACTTATTTTTGAGTTACAGTCAGCCAATCTTGCTCACCAATTCTAAATATGAAGAGAATTATCCATTGAAATTAATCAGGAATAAATCATGATTCTTATAGAGACCTTTATATGCTTTTGTACAAGATATACAGGATTTACTTCTGTGAAGTATAAAGGTTTGATAAACCATCTCACTCTTTTTTCCTGCACACTTAGGAATCCTATTGACTTCAGATAATATGTTTCAATATATTCAGTACTGCTAAGTATTTCATTCTTCTTTCAGGTTCCATAGGTAGGCAATATGATTGCACAGTATTAATACCTAATGGCAGTAAATTATTTGGGATATTCAGAATTAATAGAAGATACCAAAGCTAAAAACTAAACAGTTCCTTCCAGTGCTTGAAGGGAACATATAAACAGGAAGGGGAATGGCTGTTTACAAGGGTGGATTGTGATAGGACAAGGGAGAATTGCTTTGAACTGAGACAGGGGAGTTTTAGGTTAGATACTAGGAGAAAGTTTTTCACCCAGAGAGGGGTGAAGCATTGGAACAGGTTGCCCAGAGAGGTTGTAGATGCCCTGTCCCTGGAGGCATTCAAGGCCAGACTGAATGTGACTCTGGGCAGCCTGGTCTAGTGGTTGGCGAACCTACACATAGAAGGGGGGTTGAAATAAAATAGATGATCAGTGTAGTCCTTTTCAACCCAGGCCATTCTATGATTCTATGATCTCAGAAAAGCAGAGTATTTATAAGGTCTAAAATTTTATCTTCCAAACTAATTGCTCTTCTTCTACCTCCTAAAATATTAACTATTGATCCAATATAGTAGGGAGACAGCCTGAATTGTCTTCCCATCCGAATTTCTGCTCAAAATTTTCAGATTCATTTATATGAAGTAGTCATGTAAACAGTGGATAGTCAATACATATTGCTTTCTTAAAGCTGTATTTCTCATAGATGTCTATATATTACTTTAGGCTGGAATTGTGTATGCATTTGTAAATGTGTGTTCTTTTAAACGCCAACTAGGCTTTATGTGAGTGCTTGTTTTACAGTAGCTCGCTCTCAGTGTGCAAAACTCCTCAGACTTTAAATCATCAAAAGATCAGTGAAATTTTTAGGTTTAATTCCTGAGCTTCAAGCATGTTTGAAGATTATTGAGATTTTTTTCATGGGGTTATGGTATAATGTTCTACAAAGTGATACAATTAACATAGAACAAAATAACATTGTGTAGACAAAAACACAAATTGACTTAAGATGAATAGGTAGATATTAAAACAAGACAAACTAAATGAAGATAAATAGGATGCTACCTATTAAAAGGCATTTAAACATTGGGAAGGAAAAAAAAAGAGCAAAAGGAAAAGACAGAAAACAAACAAACAAAACTATGCTAGATATACCATGACAGCTCTTTGAACTATATACTTGCATAACATAAGAAATCTGAGATATAGAAAGTCAAGTTCAGATCCCTCAAACATTCTTAAGGCAACTTCACACCACTATAATTTTCCATACAAATTGTAATTCGCAAACTACAATATTCTCTAGAAAATAGTGAAATTTTATTTCTGTAATAAAGTTTTCTCAGAATGTCATTAGTTTTTAACTCTGACCTTTACTCATTTCTTTGGAGAGTCAATTAAAATAAAACTTACCCCCCGCATTTTCTTTAAAGTACACTTTCTTACAGCCTCAGAGATGTTAATTTAAAGAACAATGTCATTTGTGTAGATATACTTACAAATGTAAAGAAACAAAAAAAGATGTGCTTCCTTCTGCTGTTCAACTCTGTCTAAATACTACAGTTTCAAAGAATAAGTTTCATTTAAAATATGTATTTATGTATTTATTTATTACCTCCCTCCCAGGATTATTCAATCTTGTTATCCTTTTATTGTGTAATAAACCTGCAAGATTAATGAACAATGACACTTCTTTTTTCATGGTATATGAAAACAGTGAAGTAGGAGAAAGATTTGGAATTAGTCAGCTGAATTCTATAGGCATTTGATAGACAAAAAGATAAAAGTGATCCCAGTCTTGAAGTAATTTACAGAACAGGGGCAAATTCCTAGGTATGTTTGTTGTAGGTGACTAAATTTCATTTCAACTCCATAAATCATCCAAATTCTTCTGTGATTCTGTGCATACAGACAGCTATTTAAAAATAGACAGTCTATTACTAAACTCAATAATATAATTTATAAAGTAAGAACCAGATATTTTATATGTTCTCATAAAATATTCCGTGATTTCCAGCAGTGACCTACCTGAAGGAACATAAATATATGCTTTAAAAAAAAAAAAAAAAAAAAAAAAAAAAAAAAAGTTTTTAACTTTTAGTAATATTTCTCTGTAAAAATAATATTTTTATTCTTCTCCTAGCATACTCAATCCACCTTTTTATCTATTTTTATAAAAATATTTGAGATAATCTTTAGCAGAAATTATAAGGCAGCAACACTTGTATATACAGCAAATGGAAGATTTACGATCTCGTAAAAGTAATCTGACATCACTGTTTGGAGTGATAGGAAAGTCTTCAAGCTTTTATCGTTTCTATACATGTTAACATGATTGAAAAACAATGGTTTCCTATTGTCCTTCCAATGCAAAAGAGTCTACAGTTCTATAAAATCTAAGTGCTAAGACCTTTGGTATAGAATGTGAATGAATGAGTATAGGCTGGGCACCACATCTCTAGGAAACAGCTTTACAGATTGCGACAGACAATAAGTTGGATGTGAGGGGGGAAAAAAAAAAAGGTCAAGAATAAACTGGAATGCTTTAGTAAGTTGGTTGCCAATAAGTCAAAGAAGTGATCATTTTTCCCTGTTTGGCACTTTTGAGAACACATATAGAGTAGTGAATCCAAAAAAGAGATACCAAGGAAACTAGGGTTGTAAAGCATATGACATACAAGGACAGAAGAAACGGCTAATGGAGGATCCAACTAATGTGTTCAATGATTGGAAAACAGTTACAGAGAAAACAGAATCTGTGTTCAGAGGTGTACAGCAAAAAGACAAGAAGCAGTGGACAAAGCTGCAACAAGTTACATATCGAGGAAAAAAAAAATTACAATAAGGCATCAAAAACTGGACCAGGTTACTGAGAAAGCCTGAGAAATCTCCATTTTTAAGATACTCAGAACTCAACAAGATGCTGAACAACATGCTCTAGTTTTAAATTCAAATATAGCTAAGAAGGAATTTAAACCAGATCTTCAGAACTCTCTCATGATTGAAATTATTGAGTTATTCCATAATTCCCGAGTCTTATAATGTAAATCCAGTCACGCATACAACTTTGTAAAGTTTGTCCCCTCATTCCTTCAAGCCATTCTGCAGGAAGAAAATTGATCAAATTCTTCTTTCTCTTACATCACAGGGAGAAAAGGCACTCAAAACAACATATTTGTTCTTCGCTTGCAGAAAACAAACAAACAAACAAACAAACAAAAAACCAACAACAACCTCTTAAAATTGTCTTCACCTGAAAAAAACATAAAAGAAGGACCAGAAGACTCTTTCCATCTGTTTAAACCCTCCTTTGTTTTTGGCTCAAACTTGCTTTCCAAGGGATTTCTTGGGACAGGACTCTGCCCTAAGCAGGAGGTGAGTGGTGGGTGTCACCAAGTGGCAATCAACATAACTTTGTGGACAGTTTTACATTTCAAAGTATTTCTTTGTACTGTTTGCCTTCAAAAGGGAGTGCTCAGGAGTGTTAATTGGCTGAAGACTGCCTGGGAGAAAATGACTCCAGCCATATGGGATAGATTGCGAAATGATACCATTACATCCTATGCAGACAGGATACAACTGGCATCTCCTAGATTCCTCTCATCTGCTGACTTAAAATTTGCAAAGCCTGGAAGATGGCAACAAAGGAGTTCCTATTGAGATTCAAAAGCCAGAAACAGTCACTCCAAAGAGAGCTGACAGACCACTCTGGATTATAGATAAGGTTATAATGTTGTTGGAAAGAGCAATTGTACACTGAACAACACAACCTCCAGTGACCCATCATTATAGAAGAGTAAGTCCAAACCACAAGCAACATTGGAACCCTTGGTAGTGACCCTCTCTCTCTTGCTTTCTACAAAGACTCCTTGCTTCTATTTCCTATCTCTTTTCTATTTTCCATCTTCCCCATCTCCCTTACTGATTTGTAGAGATTTGGGAGGGAGATTTGTAAGGGAGCTTTGTAACTGACTAGGATTTTTAATAAACTGGTTGGACCAACATTTGAAAAATTGTTTCTTAATTTCACTATCGGGTATACATATATTAAAAGAACTTCCTCTCCCTCATACAAATTGAAATGAGACACCATTCACTCCACCTTTTTCTCCTAATGGAAAGCCAAAAATTTACACAAACGCATACACACAGATTTGTTTTCTAATCTCTGCAGTCACGTGACTAGGTGTACTATAAAAGCATTCTTCCCATGTTTTCCGTATGGTATAATGAACATTCATGTTGTATTATAAGAAAAAAATATTTCTCTGAATTTTGGTGAAAAACATTAAAAGACATATTTTTGAGACTCCATCAATTTATCAAGTTATTGCTTTCTACATTTTTTCTATTAAATTTGAAAGGCTCTGTAAATTGGGCTTAACTCCAACTAGTAGTTTTGATCATAGAACTACAGAATGGCTTGGGTTGGGAGGAACCTCAAGGATCATCAAGCTCCAATCCACCTGACACAGGCAGGGCCACATGTTGTTTGACTAAGTTGTCCTGAGTGGTTCTATAACTGTCTTTTACATTCCATTCACAGCAGTAGTACCATCCCTTGATTATGATAGAGTACCTAAAAGTAAGCCGTTTGTTTTTTCTTGTTTATGTTATGTTATCATCCTCACAGAGTTCAAGATACTAACTACATACAGTAAACTGTATTTTGATTGCTACTCATTGGGATCAATGGGATCAAATCACTGAAGGGGGAGAATGAGAAGCATCTGGAAGTCCAAGAAAGGGACAGAACAATGAAGCTGTGCTCTGCTTTTTTTGATATGCACAAATCAATCCAGTATGACCACTACTGAGACAGTCCTAGTATTTGATCTCATGAGGATGAAGGCAGCAATTTAAGTGACGCTGAGAAGAGGAAAAAAGAGGAAAAAATGGTTACTCACCTAGGGTGCTCCCCAAAGCTATTTAAAGCTTAGTATCAGATGTGACCATCAAGAGAGGGTGATGACATGTTCATAGGGTATTTAAACTGTGCAGCTAATGTGCCAGCTCTACCCCTGCTGACTCAGGAGCCTGCTCACAAGCTGCCAGTTCCCCAGCACAAGTGCAGCACTGTTGCTGGCTTCAAAAATCGTTTAAAAAGAGCTTTTTTACTCCAGATCCCTTGTCCAGTGTAATCTTACCTGTTCCAAAGCTAGTCTCGGCAGCAAATCCTTATAAAGCTTGCTGAGGACAAGTTCAGGTGAGTCGTGGTCAAGGGCTGAGAAATCCTTTGCCTGAAGGGCACAGATGGACAAGTTCAGGCAAGTCCTGGTGGAAGTTGGTAAAATCTTTTGTCTGAAGATTTGCTGGCCAGAGGCAAGGAGAAGTGATAAGTCCCAGCTTAATGGTCAGGAAGCAGTCTTTTGTGTGGGTTTATCTTGAGGGACATAGCCATCTCAGGAGGCACTGACTCAAGCACCCTGGAATGCCACATTGGCAGAAGAAGGAGGATAAAGAAGGGAACAACAACTATGAGGGTAAGTGTGTGTCATCAGATGCCTCTCAACAGGATACCTGCCTGCTGACAGACTCTTTGGGCCTGCCACCTGAGACCTAGCTCTTCCTCCTGGACTTGCTCTGTCACTGTACCTGCTTGCTGCCTAAGGCCAACCACGCTGCTGCTGCTGCTTTCCCCTTGTGCTTTTGCCTCGGGTCATGAGAATGATGTGCAACAGGACACTGCTGGATCTTGGTGGTGACTATCCCCTGTTTATATAATTCTTGCTTCTTTCCTACCTTTCCTATCGCCCACCTTCCTATCCATATCGTTCATAACAGTCGCTGGCCTCCCCTTCCCCATCTCCCTGATTGACTAAGATTTGTAATAAACTGGTTGGACCAACATTTGAGCCATTGTTTCTTAATCTCACATTGGATATACATATATCAAAGAACCTCCTCTCCCTCCTATAAATTGAAGCAAAACACCACTCCTGTTCTTCCATGTAGGCACACACAATGCCACAGCAAGAAGACTGAGATCTATCAAAAGAGATTTCAGGCTCTGGGAAGGTGAAGTATTGAGAAGCACAGACAGTGTTTTCCTTAGCCCCCTGGGGAATACAGCTAGGAATGCTGAGTCAACCCAAGAGATGATACAGCACTGTCTGACAGCATAGAGGCTAATGGGAGCATCTACTCTGCACCAAGGCTTACTTAGGTTTGAGAAGCACATCTGAAATTCTTGCATATCATTGCACACAGTCTGAGGAACAAATCAGATGAACTGAAAACTTCAGTTCTTTCAGTCGTTTCCCAAAGTTATGGTGTCATTGGTATTAGTGAGTGTTGATAGGATGAGTCCCAGGACTAGAGTGAGGGGATATGGGGTTATGAGCTGTTCAGGAAAGACAGGCAAGGCAAGGGAGTTGGAGATTTTGCACTGTCTGCAGGCAGAGATTAGACTATACAGCTTCTGCAGCTAAGGATGATGTGGTGGAGAGCATTTGGGTGAGGATTAAGAGGATGGATAGTAAAGCAGATATCACCATGAGTGTCTGCTATCAACCACTCACTCAGGCTGATGGCATAGATCAGCTATTCTGTAGGTAGGAGAACTCTGACCTTTTTTTATATTTTTTTATTTTTATATTCTTCTACAATAAAGTAACACAATTAGGGGATGAAATGCATGTAATCTTTCTGAATTTTAATGTCATTGAATATTGTCCTTCACAGTGTTTTTACGGACAATTTGATTGCCTATGAGTTGAATAGGCTTATGTTATGCTAATTTGTTGAATGCTAGAGCTCAAAGGGTTGTAGTAGATGGGACTACATCTGACTGGCAGCCAGCCACTAGCAGTGTTCTCAGGACTTCATTATTACTAGGGCTTGTTCTGGTCAACATATTCATCAATGATCTGGATGCAAGAGTGAAATGTGAAACTTACTGATGATAATAAATTGCTGCTGACTTCCTGATAGAAGGAAATGCCTTGCAGAGAGATCTAGATACACTGGAGCACTGAACAACCTGGATTGGCCTGAAACTCAGGAAAGATAAATGCTGGATTCTGCACGTGGGACAGAGTAATGCTGAACACAGGTACAGACTGAGAGATGCTAAAGAGCATCTCTGCAAGAATGGTTCTGAGGGTACTGGTAGACCATAGGCTCAGCAGGAGTTTGCAGTGTATCCTAGAAGCCAAACCTTATTTTTGGTTAAACACAGCATAGCCAGTAAGGAAAGGAGTTTTCCAGCACAGTTCCCAGTGGTGCAGCCTCACCTTGAATATTGTGTACATTTCTGGGCTGTACAATGAAGGAACTGGTCAGGCAGGTTGTACTTAAAGATCTTTGTGGATTTCTTCAAATAAACAATTCTGTTTTATTCTGTTCTGTTTGCTTCTATTCTTCTTAAAGTAGTAAGCTTGGAGGGAGCACATGAGGTTCTTCTATGGTTTTTTTTGTTGTTGTTTGCTTGTCTTTGGTACAGGACCCCAAGTGGAAGAACAATAGTACTTTTTGTTGAGGTAATGGAAGAAAATGCTGCTCGAGATCTTATTTTGACTCAGTCTAAGCTTGTTCTCTGTAAGCTGCTATAAGAGCAGTAAGACATTCTGTGGTTTTATGATCCTATGTTTAATATTGTGGATCTGTAGCTGAATATTTTTCAGATACGTAGGGAAGTGCAACATCAAGACGAGTGCATATACGAGATGCCTCAGAGTTTTAGCCAAAACTATAGCAGATAACATTAACTCATATTTTTCAAAGTAATCTTGAGTTGGAATTTTGAATCTCTCTTTCATTTTGCACTATGCTAGATAAAACCTCAGTGGATGCTATCATTAGCATAGTTTCCACAGTTTAAACTGGAAGAAAACACTGGACAGTTATTGTACCTGCTGACTTTGAAATTCACTTTCCTATTTGAACTAGAACTGAAATATCTTAACATTCACATTGCTGCAACTATGTCATTACAATTTGATATTTGATCTGTAGAGCAAGTAATTATTAGGGCAGGAGGAGTAGTGAAGTGATATTGAGTATTTTATTATGAATAGTAATATCTATCAATGTTCAAAGCGTGAATATAGCTTAGGAGAATAAGAAATAGTCTTAAGTAGAACTACTGACATTTAAAAGCTCACATTTCACTGCCAAGGGGTATTCTCTAACACTTGCTCAGAATACAATATTTCCATGCGAATTCCAGGTAGTGTATAAATAATCTGTTGATGATTTCACAACAAATAGAGAATTATTCAATTTTGCAGACACAATCCATCTTTTTTTCAGATTGGTTGAAAAAATTGTTCAGATTTAATTTATTTTCTCTGAGCAGAAAACCTCTTTAGTGTATTGCCAGCTATTCCTTTGCATTCAATGTATTTTTTCTGAACTTCATGGTCAGTAATAATCCACCCACAAAAACCTTTTGAGACCTGACAGTTATTCCAAACCATTAAACACAGTAATCACAGCAGTTCTTCCATTAAGTTTCTCTCATTACTACTTGAGAAAGAGTTATTATTTTGACTAGATTTGAATTTAACCAGAACGTTCATACTAGATAGTATTACAGTCATTATTAAAAACATGTTTTTCCTTGGAGATTTAGAGAACTTTCCATTAGTTATAAAGGTAAATGGTGAATGGTGTTATTCAGTATAAATGATTCAGTTTCCCAAACCTTTTATAATACGTAATAGATATACAAAGAAAATACTGTGTCTCCAGTGCAGCTGACGCAAGGACATGAGATGACTTACAGACATAATAAATCAAAGAATCATACAATGGCTTGGGTTAGAAGGAGCCTTAAAGCTCCATCTGAAGACCATCTAGCTTCACCCTTCCTCCCATGGGCAAAGTTGACAACAACTACTAGATAAAAATAATTATTTCACTGTACAGGTCCTCATTCAACCTGGCCTTAAACACCTCCAGGCAAGGCTCATCCACAATTTCTCTAGTCAACCTGTTCCACCACCTCACCACACTGAATGAAAAAATTCCCCTAGCATACAACGTAAGTCTCCTGTTTGTAGAAAAATATTCCCCCTTATCCCATCACTTACAGAACGTGTAAATGTCCCTCTCCATCTTTTGTATAAACTCCCTTTAAGTACTAGAGGGCCACAAGGAGGTCTCCCTGGAGCCTCTTCCAAACTGAAGTAGTTCAGCTTTCTCAGCCTGTTTTCATAGTGGTAATGTTTCTGTCCTCTGATCATCTTCAAGGCTGGAATGACTGCAATAGGTCCATGTCCTTCTCGTGCAGCTGAATACAATAATCCAGGCCTCATGAGAATGGAATAGAGGAGAATCATTTCTCTTGACCTGCCAATCATGTTTCTTCTGATGCAGCCCAGTTGGCTTTCTGGGCTTCAAGTACACATCACCAGCAAGGTAAACTTATCCTGAGCAGAAATTCAGTACTGAATTTCACATTTCTAAACATAGACATTTATAACCATCTGAGGTTTCCCCTGTCGTCTTGTCTGGTTTCAGCTGCCATTCCAAAATATTTTCTATAGGTCTATTTTAATAGATAATTATTTTTACACTGTTTTTCCAGGCTGAAGATTTCCCTCCTCCCTCCCCAGTGTGCAGTGCAACAAGAATTTAAACTCAAAAAAAAAAAAAAAAAAGCCTTTTTCTAACACAAGCCCCACGTGTAACGGTGTAAAGGAGTTTGGTGATTCAGGTAATACTTTCACTGAATTCTGTACTGTACTGTCAGACAAGTAAGACAGAGATTCTGGCCTACTGAAGTAAAAAAGACTTCAATCTTTGAGTCCAGCAGCAAACCTGAGAAGATCTGGGGCTGGCCTTGAACATAAAAACAGGATGAAACAGGACCAGAAATTTCCTATTAACAGATTTCCTTGGAAAGCTTTACCTTGGATCCAACTTACAGAAACATTAGGTTCCCAGTGAATTTGTAATTCCAAAATAATTGTGAAGGTTTTTAGAAATTAGTGAAAATTAGTGCTTTACCATGTTGTTTTTTGAAGCCCCGCTTGGCACAATGAATGCTAATATTACAGTTAATATCAATGTCAAAATGAAGGGAATTTACCTAGCTGTACCCAGAAATAAAAATACTTTTCTTTTTCTCTTTTCCTACAATTAACATTTATGTTTTGTGTCTCTTACCCAGTCATTTAATGATTGTTTAGTACATTCAGGTTACTTCCAAAGTGAAGTTCTTTGGAGAGAAAATCCCAAAATATTTTAAATTTAAAACATTTAACTTGAAGATCATAAAGTTTCTCA